CGAGAGTTCACTGGCTGATTCAGAATCCTCAAAGTCGGGATGGACTTTCTATCTGGGCCGAGCCCTCATCCCCCGGGACTGAACGCCCCCTCCTCCCGCGGCCGGGTCCGGTTCGGTTCCTGGGAGGCATCAAGCGGGGGCGACTAACGGTTCCGGACGCGCGGAGAGCGGGTTTCAGCAAGTCGCGGGGGAGGCGCGCGGTAGCGCGAGGTGCGGGGGCTCCCGGGTGGGGATTGAGAGGCGCCGAGTTGCGGGCTTTACAGTCTCTGAAGATCTGAGAGACTCGAGGGGACTTGGAGGCTCGCGAGAAAAGGCACTCGGTAGAGCTTTGCAGTGGCAAGGAGTGGGTGGAAAGCAGCTTAGGGAGAATGTTTGAGAGGTGATGTACCCCCACCCCCCCCACCCTTGCACCAGAAGGGGTTAAGTGACATAGGCATGTGCAGCCTGCGGGGTTGGGGGTCGGCCAGGAACTTATGCAGGCCTTGCAAGTTTCAGGTTGTGGAAAGTGGACACCCAATCCCCCAACTCCCACCCCCAGCAACTGAGGGTGTCAGGCTGCACGGCGATTCTGGAGAAATCGGGGAGCATCAGAACAACGGCTTGGGGATGGTGGAAGAGGAAAAAACGGGTGCGGTGGGGAGATGAAGAGATGCCGAAACCTCGCACTAGATTAGGGATCTGACCGCATTTTCAAAGGGGAGGGGGACCTCTGGGGGGAACCGAACTCCTGGTCGAGGAGTGCCAGAGAGAGATGTTTGGAAGGTTTTTTTGTTTGGGGCGAGGGGAGGTGGATTGGAGGCGATTGGTAGAGCCCGGCGCCTCAGCTCGTTTTATGAATGTGGGTGATTTTATGAATGAAGCGGGTTTCTTTCGTTGGCTCGCTGCTCCCTGCGGTCTTTTTTTTTTTTTCTTTCCTTTTTGTGAATGAAGCATTGAGCTTTCTTCCTAAAACGCTGGGGTGAGGGGCCTGCGTCGGAGGCTGGGCGTGCGTTGGGAGTGGGGGCGGGGGCGCATCTTAAGGAGTTTTCATGAATGGAGAAGGCTGGGAATTGGGTAGAAGTGTGTCTTGTTTTGTGAATGGGGCCCAGTGCGAGGGATCCAGTTACAGCCTTTACCTGATGTGGCGGCCGCGTTTCGCTCTCCCATTCATAAAACCGGGCCCGCTGCGCGCTGCGGGGGAGGGGCCTCGATCGCACCGCTGCGCCGTGTTAAAGTTTTCCTGGGGGCACCGGGAAGGGGGGGGCCCACAAAGGAAGTGGTTTAAACTCCTAGATGAACTCGAGCCTTCCCTTAAGGCTTAAAAAAAAATTGTACTTTGAACACGATTTTTCTAGCCCTTGAGATTTTGAAGACTGCTTTAAAGACCTTCGATGCCTCTTTTCGATTCACTTCTGGCAGCTTCTTTCTTCCATTTAATTTTTTAAAAGATATTTTTGCTCTTCACGGTGAAGTATTTTTGCAGCGTATTTCATCGTGAGACTGTGAAAGTATCTCCTTCTCCGATCTCCTACCCGTTCTCCCTCCAAATAGATATTTACAAAATTTCTAAGGCCACGGTTTATTTAATCTGACAGATTTCTGAAGGCTACAGAGAACTCATTTTCATGTCCCCCCAACCCACTGCAGATGATACTCAGGTTTTGTTTATGAGTTGGTGACATTTGAGAAAGAAGCGTTTTTCTGAATGTTTTACCGCTGTTTGGAAGGCACGCAGGCAGGCTAGCCCGGGTGTTTTTCAAGGAAGTTATGAATTGTGGGCAGTTTTGCTCCTCTCTCTTTTTCTTTGACTTTGAAAATATCTTATTACTTGGACCAAAGTGCTGAGAGGAGGCTGGCAGTGACGGGTTTCCTTGTATCCTGCTAACTTAGAAAAATTTGATATGCTTCACACAGTGTGAAAAACAAATTGGATGGAATTGCCCACTGAGAAAAAGGTTTCTTATGTAAAATTTGTGTACAAGTTAAACAAAAGATTTATCCTTAAGTGTTTTGCATTGCTTAGAGCTGGGGTGAGAGAAATGAATGTTTCCCCCATTTTGTTGGCTCAACTGCATTTTTATTTGAATAAAACAGTGCTAAGGAAGATGGCACCTTCCTAAAATTGTTACTTTATTCCTCCCAAATTAGAAAAAGTTCCCTCCTCTCCATTTTGATCCCCAACCTCTGTCCCTGCCCCAACGCTTAACAGTGCTGAAACAAGTTTAATTTTATTTTGTCATGTTTGGGGAAAACTGACTTCACTATAAGAAACATTCTCTTTCCATGAATGCTTTGCTTTTAATGCTTTTTAAAGATCTGTGGTAGAGGTGCATTTAAAAATACGTGCAGTGGAATTTAGTGAACTTTGTGTGTTACTTTCCTAGCTGTTTTATTCTTTTAGAAGTTGGAGATGTCACAGATATCTGTCTCTATATGTATCTGTAGTTGCCGTGGAGATATCTGTGACATTACAGACACTACACCTGTTTGGACAAAAGGTTTAGATTTTAATGAAGAGTTGTGTATGAAGATAAGTATACCTCTGATCTGATAGATGTGTTCCTGGAACTATATATAGTGCTTTTACCATTGACCTATAAAATACTTTTAGAAACACTATGTATGTCAGATTCTTACTTGCAAATAATTTGGAATGCTTAAACCCAGTTTCCCTACTTCCTGTCACTGTACTGTCAAATTATGTCAAAAAAACAAACTGAAAAACTAACCCTAACAAATGCCCTGGGGAATCTTCTTTTGGAGAGAATCTTGGAGAGAAATTGCCCTTTCATAATGAAAACGGCGCTTTTTTTTTTTTTTTTGGATAGGAGACAAATAGTAGTAAACCTGTAATTTTAATGATTAAATAAAAGAAAGATTAAAAGAATGACTAGGTAAATGGATTTGGCACTAAGTACACCATGAACCTCTGATGCCCTTAATCAAGCCCAGCATTAAGTCTACAAAGCTTACACCTTGAGTGGGCTTTAAGTACCTCAGAGAAAGGTAGTGATTTTTGCACAGGCCCTAGAGAAAGAGCAATATGAAATTACTTCGTTTCTCTTTTTTCCCCCCTCTCAGTTAAAATCTCCCAAATTCAACTTACAGGAGGACCCCTTTCCCCCCAGAAATTACTCAATGCTGAGACCTTTCAAAGTGACATTAGAGACGTTGGAAGCACCATGGATGGGTTTTATGATCAACAAGTCCCTTTTATGGTCCCAGGGGTAAGTATATGTGGCTTTTGGTTTGTTTTGTCCTCCCTCTTCGAATGTGAGTCTTCTCCTTATTGGGTTAGTGGCACAACCCACTTTGGACCCCTTTATTACACTTGAGTCCTCACTGTTTGTTGACCTCTTTCAGAAATCTCGATCAGAGGAGTGTAGAGGGCGGCCTGTGATTGACAGAAAGAGGAAGTTTTTGGACACAGATCTGGCTCACGATTCTGAAGGTAGAGATTCTCTCCCCTGGGTGTTGTAGCTTGCTCAAACGGCTCCCAGCGGAAGTGGCAGGTAGCCCGTAGCCGGCCCTTCCCTCTTCTCCCTAGCAGAGAAGTTCTTCTCATTCTGGTGTCCTCTGTTTTCAATTCCAGAGTTGTTTCAGGATCTCAGTCAACTTCAAGAGGCTTGGTTAGCTGAAGGCAAGTTTCTTGGCTGTCCTGTTTTCCACATAAAACATTTTATTGTGCTTTTAAATAAAACTTAAAGGTCTAAAATAAAAATCTCTTTTTCCAGCACAAGTTCCTGATGATGAACAGTTTGTCCCAGATTTTCAGTCTGATAACTGTAAGTACCTTTCTGGTGGTGGTGGCACATGTGTTCTGAAATTGTTTGGTCTTGGATTATCTGTGTCTAGAATACTCTACAGCTCCAGCCCCCATATTTGGACAGTGGAATGTGTTTGATATCTTGTAATAATTCTAAGTTATCCCCTCCATAAACTTTTGTTTCATTCCTTATTAAAATTATTTCTAAAGTGCTTTTATTCTATTGTGGGTAAGATTTACCTAAACATCATTTCATCCTAAATTTCTTTTTACCTAAGAAGGTTGCAAGACTTCAAGCTCAAAATTATCAATTGAAATTAATGGATGGTTGGTCCAGCATCTTATAAACAGACATTATCTTTCCAGTGTGTGGTTTTTTGGTGTTTTTTGTTTTGTTTTGTTTTGTTTTGTTTTTTGGTTTCTTTTGTAAGTTAAGTCCTTGATGTGAACCATGAGCCTGACTTTTTTTTCTTTTAAAGGTGCAGAAAATAGTTAATGGGAGATTCCAGTTAATTGTGGCTTCACCCAACATGTTGTCAGTTTTGTTTCTACTTCTAAGTTAACAAAAAGTGGTCACAACGTGATCTGATTTATACTTATTTTTCATGTAGTTGTCAGGATTTAATTGTTCAGAGAAGAGTAAAAACTTTTCCTTAAAATGGTCATATCCCTGAAATAACATATGCAGTGGGAGCTCAAAAGATGGCTCTCAGTGCTGGCGAGGGTTAGCTTTGCACTAATCTTTCGGGGCTGTCCTCAACAGGTCTGGGAGCTTTTGTGGTCCAGGCAGAGCTATCAAGGACAAAGCTGGCTGATGAAATTTGAGCAGCACAGGGCAGCTCTAGAGAGCATTAGTCACTGGCGTGTGAGCAGGTTTAAGAGAGGCCTGGAGAAAATGCTGCCTCTCTTGAGAGTTGCATCATAGAAAAATTCATGTCTCTTAGTCATAGTTTATAATAGCAAGCACCTGAGCCAGGCAAGGATTCAATTTCTCATTTTGCACCAACAAATTCTTCCCAGCTTTGTTTTATCTTGTGTGTGTATGTAAAAATGCCACTGGGAGAGAGGGTATCTTTGGGTCTGGGTAAAAGCTGGGTGTTCTAAATCAATACATGAAAGACCATCAGTACCAGCTAAACATTAATGATTCAAGCTGCAAAAGAATGATGCTTTAAAAGGGAACAAACTGTAACCCACAGATGTGTGGTTACCTTAGCTTTGTCACAGCTTGCAAAGGATGTTTTCTATAGGAAAGTAAATGCGTGTTAATTGTTGCCCTTTGATTGCTTCCAAGTGATTGGGAGGCTTGCCACTGAAAGGCTAAATAAAGATAACCCAGATTCTGTGTGTATGTGTGCGCACGCACACGCAAGATAAAAGGCAGAGTTTGTAATCCTACTTTGTTCTGTGTTGACAATTTGGCCCAGCCTTTCCAGTGCTTGCTCAGAGCAGCATAAGCTGCAGTCTGTTTGGGAGGTGGCTTTCTTGGCAGAGGTCCTTTGAAATGCTTTTATGACACTTTTGTTTGTTTCTCTGTAACCCAAAAGAGTTAAAAGGGAGGTGAGATGACTGCATCCAAATTGATTTCATGTGCTGAAGCAAAGGTATGTGCCTTAGAACAATGTCAGCAAACAGGATTTATATTTGGAGAGATATTTATCTGCAGGAAGAAGCTAAAGTGAAGGAATCAATAAATGTGTTTTGGCTCCTTAGAAATAATTCCTGCTCAGCGAATAGAATGTGCTAAGTTCTTTAATTAAAGTGCCATACCTACAATGGCACTGCTTTGGGAGATGCTTCTGCTTACCAAATGTGATGTCTTTTTCACTTTGTTTGCTTTTTGCTTTAATTTCTTAGGATTGAGCTTTTCTGTCTTTTAAGGATAAAGCAGATGGTTGAGTGGCCCCAGAAAGTCTTTTAATAATTCTTTCTCCCTCTCTGACTCCTATTTCTGGAGATGGAGCTTCAAGAAGGATAATTCAAACTGAGGTTAGGCAGGAACATAAGTGTGGGGAGGTGTATCCTTGAGCCTTTTATCCTTGCTGTTCTGTGTGCCTGGTTTGCCTGAAGTTGAGCCCAGCAGTGTAGACTTCTGGGAGCTGGCAGGGCCCTGGGCTGGGCAGACTCTTCTCTATGTGCGGGTCATACAACCTTGTGTTGCAGATCAGCTTCCACTCTAGTGACCTTCTGAAAGAGCCCATGATGGTTCCGGGAGATGGGGAAAAACTCATTCAAATTTAATGAAATCTTAGGAATTGGCTTGAATCACCCAATCAATGAAGTGTAAATCAAACGTGTCTTGCCGGGTAAAGCAAACCTCTTCCCTAGGGTAGCAGAAACATTTGTAACAAATACTCTTCTGTGGCCTGCCACCAGTAGTAGTCTGCCTTCCCTGTCGCTGATGAGTTGATGAATTTTCCATCTTGAATGTGAGAGTTTTTGTGGGTGTGTGTGAGAGAGAAAGAAATACCAAGTAATATGGATAACTTTTTATTTTAGAATGTCAGGTTTGAAGATTATGGCTTACCTTTTTGTGTGTGTTGGGGTGGGGGGTGTAGGTAAACGCTATAAGCTCAACTTCTAAAGAGATTCGATTTTGTAAACTTTCCAGATTTGGGTTTCTACCCATCAGCATCCATCCAGAAGTGTAATTTGAAATCGTTGTTCTAAATCTTATAAAAATGCCCAGCTTACTTCTATCTGTGTAGATTGACCTTATGTTACTGAGGTCTGTATCTGTGAAGTATCCTCCACCTGGGAAACTCTTGAAGGTCACATTCAAGGGACTAGAAAGTACAACCTGTAGACATAGGTGTTCTGCCAGTGCCACCCACTGTCCCTTGATCCTGAGACATAGATGTTCCTGAAGATTCCAGATGTTTGAGCTAGAAGTTCTTGTGGAGATGGTCTTGCCCAGCCCTTTCATTTTACTAAGAGGATAAGATAGCTGGAGAGACTGACTAGTGGTTGGGGGCAAGTGGGAGGGATTAAGTGAAATGAGGGGGGAAATATATAAAATCATATCCTTAAAGAAGCTCTCACAAAGCTGCAAGCCGGAGGTCACTGTCAGGGCTCTCTCATTATTTCAGATACCTGGAGACGGCCCTCAGGAAGGCCTTGGAGAGCTGGCTGCCCAGTCTAACACCTCAGTTCTCTTCATTCTGTGACCCCGAGAAACCTATTCAACATTTCAGTGCTTTGAGTTTTTTCATGTAGGATTTGGAAGTAAGAGAGAAATTATAAGACAGATGAATTATAAAACTGACATGTTTCCTAGAAGTGTGTGTACAGATAAAACTGAATATATATCCTGTATGTTATAAATGTGTGTATGTGTGTATAGCTATATAAATATGTATGCAGCTAAATATGTGTATTAACACATAGAGCTACCAAACCAGGGAATCTGGGTCAGGAGATAGATGTGTACGCATTTTTACGACACATTTTCACAGAATTAGCTGCAAATCAAACCATGGATAAGAGTGGAACTCAAGGTGCTCAGATTTAGGGTAGCAGTGGGTGAGTCTACATTCATTTTTCTGTTTTCTTTTTTTAATTTTAGGGGGGATTAGGTTTTTATTTGTTTTAATGCTGGTACTGGAGATTGAACCCAGGATCCCGTCCATGCTAAGCATGCACTCTGTCACTGAGCAATACCCTCCCTTCTACATTCATTTTTCTGAACTAACTGAACACCTTAGGGTACTACTAGATTTTAGCATATATAAATAGGTTTTTTAAAATACAGATTCCAGTTCTGATTTTTTTTTAAATCTCATTTGTTTCAGTTGAGATGTTGTGAATATTTTCCTGTCAGCATTTTGAATAATTCAAATATTTTATGCTGGGGAGAAAGCATGGTAAAATCTCATTTTAAAACCATGGTCTCCATACCAAATACAATTCAAAGAATTGTTTTAAAACCCAAATGACCTTATTTTTCCCTTGAAGTATTTTTTAGATCTGTGTTTCAAAAAGAATGGATCGACTAGAGGAAGTACAGGTAATTTCCTAAGGACTGGCTAATTAACTGATAAAATCGACTTTTCATAAATACATTGCAATAGATGGCTGGGGAAATAGAATTAACTGTTATGATAGCCTTTGAGTCTAAAATACATTGATCTTAATCCAGTTTCAATATGAGATTATTCATCTGGATTTTTTTTTTTTAACTGCAAAGGAGGTTGATATGGTGAGGAAGTGCCTGCCTTTGGGAGAGGGCACATTATATTGGACCCAGACATGATATAACAAAATTCTACATTTACTTGCTCTGTGTTCTTGGGCCATTTCTATATGAAGAGAGCATCCTAAGGTCTTTTTTGTTATGGAAGGTAAGAAAGAACAGTAGGCACTTTACAAATAAGAGGCTTGAGGGAATCAAGGCTATCCGTTTACCCTTTTCCAGAGCTGGTAGCTCTGAAAGCAGGGAGAAGAAATGAGTGCTAAAGCAAGAGGAGGAAAACAAAGGCTTATAAACTTGAAGTCAAATAACCTCCAACGTCTGTGAGCTAGCCCACTCCCTTACCACTGAGAAAGGGTTAAATGATTTGAGATCCTTCCTATTTTGATAGCCTCCACGATCCCTAGACGCAGGACACCTAAGGACCCAAGACCTAGCGTTCCCTTTTATCGAACAGAGCCACATGTCTGCTCAAAATCTGTTTTCATCGAACTTTAATTATTAGGCTTATAAAAAACAATAGATTTTTCTCTTTGTCTTTTCTGTCTCTCTGCTCTTAGTTCTCTGATAAAACCCAGTAACCTTTCTAGTCCTCTGTGTGGCAAGAAAGACTTGGGATGGGGAATTATATCTGTGTCTGCTGGGCAGATCACTTTTGTAGATTCCAGAGGTAACAAAATCCTAGCATCAATAAAGAAATTAGTCTATCGCCTGTTTTTCAGCATTCTTCAGTTTTATAAGGTTAAGACATGGGTAGTTTGATAAAGCTGAGCATTTGTGCTGTCTGCCATTTCAACCATCTAGAAGTATCATTGTTTTAATTTCAGACCCAGAGAAAACATTACCGCTAGTGGGGTAAGGTAGAGGGGTGTAATTCTCCACCCAGAGACTGTTCCCACCACAAGTTTCTGGGGCTTTAATGGTGATAACGTGCATCCAGGCTCAGAGGCTGACAGCCCCTCTCGGTGCATGGCTGCCCTTGAGGCAGCTTGGGCCCCATCTGTGCCCTGGCACACAGTGCTTCTCCACTTGGAATCCAAGGAGCTCGGAGTCTTGTCATGTTGCAGCTCCCAGCTCTTGGCCAAGCGCCAGGCGTACTGATGCCAGTACTGGATTAGGTTTCTTTTTTAAAAATTCATTTTGTGAACTCATCAAGCTCATTTCACAGAGGCTTTGGTCGTCAGTTTCTATCATTGTCCCATCCCTAAGAGACTCAGCTTAAAATAAAGGAGAGACACACAGCCTCTAGTGTGTCTGTGGATCAGGAGTGTGTGTGTGTGTGTAACCATAAGGTAAGTACACCTTTGAGCTTGGCAGGTAAATGACAATGGACTAGCAACTTAGATGTTAAAGCTAAGAAGAGCTCCCTCTTAAAGAGACCAGAGACTGTGCCTAGTGAATAAAGGAGGCTCCCTGTCTAGCAGGAGGAAACATTTAGAGGAAAGTTGCAACTAAGGGTGCAAGATTCTGGGGAGCGGGATAAGATCTAGCTCTTAAAAGTCCAGGAGTTTGGGACTGATCTGCAGAGCAGCCAAGGCACTGAATGGGGCGGGGGGGCTGTGCTTAGGATTCAGAGCAGTGCTTCCCTGAGTTCACTGACTGGGGGTGTGGGGGCGGGGGAGGGCGGGCAGTGAGAAGAGGTTAACGTAAGACATTTGAAAACAGCCCACTATGTGCTGAAAAAGAGGAAACACCCATGAGCTAAAATTTCTCTCCTGGATTTGGTTTCCAGTAGCATGCTCTTCCTGGAGATCAAGTCTGGTCATCTCACTGGATTCATCAGATCTCCCTCAGGGTAATTATTGAAGGTTTGAAAAGAATCTTAAGAAACCCAGCCAGTTTTTAGCCTTGTACTTTGCATTGTCCTTGGAATAGATTTTGCCCTCCGACCCTAGATCTCCCCACTCTTCTCTTTTGATGTCTTGTGGGCATACAGGGGAGGGTATTATAAACCTTTCAGGCCAGATGTGAAGCTGGAGAAAGGAACTGTGAAACTGTTCATAATGGGTAGCTCGGCCCCTCCTCTGCAGCCAGAGAATCTAGTAGTGAGTGTCTCCAGAGACCCTCTCCTTTGGGAGGAAGCCAGGTGGTTCCCGATACAGCTATTGGCAATGAATGGAAAAGCAAAGAGTCTGGAAAGGCTGGCTTCCATCATGGAGAGCTGTCCTCTAATGCAAACCAGCCTGCCCCGGGGGCAGGAGAAATACCACTGAGGTCTGTTTCTCTCAGCTGATAGCTACAGTCAGATTCTGAACAGGGCTGAACTAGATAGATTTCTTTTGCCAGAGGGCACTTGTCTACCTCACTTGGAGCTGACTTGCACACCCTTGCAGATTTCAGCCAGGGTCTTGGCCATCTGAATCTTAGGGAGCATGCAGAGCAGGCAGGCGCCTGCAGTGTCTGAGTTTCTTACATAAACACAGCGCGCTGGGCGAGCAAGCGTCCCTGTGGCGACAGCTGGGCTCTGCTCTGCCTGCCCCAGCGAGCTGAGCTGCAGAGTCCCCCTCCTGCCTGAATGGAGCATTCCAAATTGGTTGTGAATGGAGGGCGGGGCTCCCTTGCAGACTTTTTCAATGAATAACCAGACCCCATTGTGCAGCCTGGGGAAAAACAACCAACTCAAACAACACTGGGACTGTTAGAAATATGCTTGTGATTGGCAGCTTGGAGAACCTCCAAAATTAGTTTCCTTTGGCTTCCCTGCTGCTCCCTGTTCTCCAAGCCTGAGCTTAATGGGGTTCGAGTTTTCTTTTAAGTGCTGACTTTAACCCTCCAACTGCCGGGCTGGTGTCCTGGCTTAGGCAAAGGGCTGCTACAGATCCGTGAGTCCGCCCCCCTTTCTTTGTCTCCCATTTTAGACTGTAGCTGTCTAAAGGGAGCGATAATAGGAGAGGGTGGTGTAGCTTCCCTGGAGAGAGAGGTGTTGAGACTTGATCTGAGGATATTACCCTTTTATCTCCTGGTTCCCATGGGGCTGTGGCTTTATCTTCCCACTGAAGGTTCTTGCCTGCTTTGATACTGCAAGTTCTAGCCTTTACTCCAGGCCTGAAGGACGGGTGTTTGCCTGCCACAGCACTTACTCTTACATTTTAAAATGGGAAGGACCAAGCTGTAATTTCTCTACTCCTTGGCCTTCCTTTTCTGTCCTATTTAAATTTCTCACTCTGGTTGCATCCATGTCATTTTAAAATGACCCTTCCCAGCCTGGTCCTCACTATGGGGGAGTCTCTCTATGGCTGCATCCCTCCCACTGTGCACTCAAACACCTTGCTTCCTCAAATGAACATCCCAGGAAGTTCCAGACAGAACCCAGCCTCTGAGCAACCCCTAAACTAGAATGGCATTCTCACCCCGAATCTAGGCCAGATTTTAGGGGTACATTTGCCTCAGTAGCATTCAACTTAAACATTTTCCAACCTTTTGGCTAGCAGCTCAGATACTCCCTTCCCACCCCCATGTAGAAGGGCTAGACCAGGGCTGTAGGATAAGCATTAAAAGGACAATCCGTTAAAAAGCAAAACAAAACATAATAGTAATGATGAATGATCCAATGCCATTTCCTTGGGGTTTTAAATTAAGAGCTCCTAGTTCCTGGTCCTCATCCTCATAACTGAATGTGGCTGTTTGCATTTGTGTTTTGCAGGTCTTTTTTTCCCCTGAAATATTTCCCTTGCTATAAGTTGGTCGTGCAGGACTGTCTTCCCCTCCCTGTTAAAAAGAGAACAGGCCTGGGCAGATTGTCCTTTTGTAAGAGTTTGAAACCTCTCAGGAGGTAACCCTAGATATCGGCTGTGTAAGAGGATGCTTCTCCGGAGGGGCTGAGGAGGACTTAGCTTACATAAACACTTTTCAGCTGAGTGCCTGGAAATGCTTTGTAATTGCCTGAAAGGGCACTTAATGAGGGTCTTTTATACTTCTCCCATAGAAAAGGTAGAATAGAAAGAGGGGGGGGTGTCTCTCCTACTGGCTGCCTGCAGTAAAGACCAAATCCTGGAATGCCTACCCCAGGTTTCCCAATCTGGATTTTAATAGAGAATAGTTTAATGCTGATAACTTCACTGCGCTGAGGAATGCCTTGAATCTGAACATTTCTGCTCCTCCTCAACTTCCTTTTCTTTCCTTCCCCCCGGACTTGGAATCTCATTTCTTGAGGAATAAGGAGAGAGCAGCATAGGGCTATAATGTATTCTGTGTTTTGACAAATATTAAACATAGTCCCCACTTCCCAGTTTCCATTCCTTGTTGACACAAGAAGCAGACAGTTTCTCTTAGGCTCTAAGTGTGTCCAAAAGCAAAGAACTCCTGTCATATGAGAAGTACGTTTCTGCACGTCTGCCTGAGCCACAGCCCCTGCTCCGCACACAGCCGATATCTGGAGAGTGGATTTTGCACACCACCACCTTCTCCGTTCTCACCCCCTACCCCCCATCGCCATTGTTCAACAGCCCCCAACACCAGCCATCAGCTGGTAGGGAAGTAACTCTGTAACATGAGTTCTGAGAGTTCTTGGGATGACCTTAGAGATAAATAGAAAACAACTAGCCAGGGTGATTTCTCACTTTCTGATTCCTCTTTTAAACACATACACTAGCCAAGGCTTCCTAGGCTGCATCTAAACTTCGTGCAGCTAATGCTGGTCCCCACTAAGATGTGTGCTAGAGGACAAGTCACGGTTTAGGCACCCTGCTGCACTTGCTGCTGTCTGCTTTAGGAGAAGCTGGGCTGTAGATAGAAGGGAGCGGTTCTCAGAGGGAGAAGCCAGTTTCCCTAGGGCTTGGGTTTTCTCCTGTCAAATTTTTAAGATAAATTTTAACTTTGAAGTTGAAGGTAAATTCCACAGTGCTTAAATCTTCCTTCAAGTATTGTTGATGCTTCTCTTAAATGCCAGTTTAGATGAGAAGCAAATGTATGGGGAATAAATTATAGAAGGGAGATTAAAGAAGGTTTGGTTTTGCATTTTTTTCCCATTCAAGAGAAATGTCCTGTTTCCCCCTTTCCTGATGGCATGTTCCACTGTGAGCAGCCCTTCGTGGTCCAATCTGCCGTGGTTGCTGGAAAGCCCCCAGTGGAGGAAGCCATGCTGTCCTCTAACAGAACTCTAACAGAGTTGGGAGAGCAGGGCTCTCTAATTTAGAGCTCTTTCCCTATGGTGAAAAATTAACAAACAAGATGTCTATCATATTGGTTTCTCCATGGCCCAAAGTTTTGGGATGTGACATATTGATGCAATTAGATTCATTCTGTAGAAAACTCTTCCACGGCAGAGCCCGTATGTATTAGTACACAAGCCTTGCCTCAGTCACAGTGGGGCTACTGCTTTTCTAAGCTCCTTTTTCCTCCCTTTAATTTCTAACTCTTATATTCAAGGCCTCTATGTTTCCATTTTCAGAATTCTAAAATAGCAGTCCGAAATTGTTAGGGTGAATGAGTCCCTTGAAGAAAAGGAACTGCACAAATCCAAGCTGTTTCAAGAATAAGACTCAAGTGTGGAGAGAGTGTGAACTTAAAGTGAATCTGAAACTAGTTCATCTGGGTCAAAAAAACCCTCTCTACTACCATCGGCATTAAATTATCTTCCTCATTTGATACCACTGCAGTTCCCTGGTAGACAACACTCTGACCTGCAGTTCCCTCCCCTCTGAGTCAGGACAGGCATGATTTAGAACATTTGACCAAGGTGGGTTCTTACTAACATGACCGCTTCTTTTGGAAAGAGGGAAAAAGAGCATTAATACAAAGAATCTCTTCCCTTCTATTTTAAACAGGCTTAGAATAGAAACCTTTGAAAATCGCCTGTGTCGTTATTGTCAGTACTGGTAGAGGTGAAAAAAGGACAGGGCCAATAGCCTAAAGTCCAGTTAGCAGCTGGTCCTCCTAGCTGATAACCAGGGACATGACCAGCCAATCTTCTTACCCTGGCAAGCTTGCCCCTGGGCCTTGGTTTCCCCTTGAGGGCTCCTTTTGCTCCTAAGGTCTCCCTGTGTATAGACCGGTTTCCCTGACGTCTCCCCAGGGACCCTCCTAGCCTTTCCAGCCCCTTCCAACAAGAGACCGGTAGCCTCAAGGACCATGTCTACTCTTCTTAGTCAGCTGTCCCCACCCTGTCTGCCCTCTAGGACCTGGGCATCATCCCTGACTTAGGTCACATTTTCTCCTCTCGAGAGGGGGAGTAGATAGGTAGGTGGAGTAAAGAGGTAGGGGAAGCCTTGAGCCCCCTTTGGAGGCTAGAGTACCCCCATTTGGGTGGTCTGCGTGGTGCTATTCCACCTTTTGGGTTGCAATTGTACATTATACAGTGACCTCCCCAACTGACTTCCATGGACAAAATTTAGTTTTTCACCTTCTGACCAGTAGTATTTCAGCTGGTGATCTGAGGTTGAGACATCATGTGCTGGTTCTGCTGCCATTGCTGGAAGGGGCAGTGGGGCGGGGCGGGGAGGGAGAGGGAATTTTTTGTGGGATGTTATAATCATTGAACTCGGCCTAGCAGAAGCAGACCTTCAAATCACCCCTCCCCTCCCCCATTATGTGACGTTACTAGATAGTAAGTATTATAGTTGAGATATGATCCCACCAGTGCAGGAATGCCTCCAAAAGAGCTCTTTCCTATGAAGTGAAACCCCCTTAACAAGTCAGTCCTCCTTTCCCACGGAGAAATTAAAGTCACTTTACAAGTATAAAACCACCATTTTTATCTTTTCCTGCTAGCCAGAAGGCCTTTGTCTTAGGGTCTAACAGAAGCTATAACCTGGGGGCCCCTTAAGCTGGAGCTTTGGCATCTTCGGAGCTAGATTT